GTAGTGGTGAGGTGGGGCGCTGCTGGGCAGCGGGGCGCAGTCAGCCATAGCCGGGCTGCTGGCCGCCAGGGGGTAGGAGGGCGATAAGGTGGTCTGCAGGGAAGGAGGCGAGTGTGGGTAATCAAGGTCTGATTGAGGGTGACGAGATACGTACCTGGTGCATGAAGAGAGGTCAGCTATGATGTTGACAGTCATGTACATTGGTCTTCGAGGGTCGAAGTGAGCCCGTTGCGTGAACCAGCTGTAGGTAGGATAGTCGGGTAGAGTAGGCTGGGCGCTGGGCGCCAGACAGAGAGGAGCGACTTTGGATACTGTGTTGGTGTGGCCTACGGGCTTGAATATTGGCTCATTACTTCATTGTATTGCTCTATATGGATGGTTTCTCGGTGCATTTTGTACTCTCTGCTTGGACGTGACTATCTGGACATCTGTGTGATTTTGCGACTTGGTTTTCTGTATATCGTTCACACTCATATTCCTTGCATGTCGGTGGTTCGGAGGGAGGAAACACAGTTTGTTAACTTCATGGTGAAGGGCCTCGCGCCACTACTGTGCACATGCACAAAAGACAAAAAATATGGCAGTGTTCTTTCCATTTTCTAGCGGAATGTTCATTCTCTGGAGAGTAGTGCAGCGAGGCCCAAAATTCATCATGTGGTCGGTGTGTCTGATGCTTTGCCGTCCTTCCTGGTGATGGCTTCAGCGCCCATATGGGATGATGACATAGGGGATGACGATTTTTGTGAATTTTAGCTTTATTAATACTATTAATATTAATTTATAATTAGACTTGGTTCTAGGCTATTTGGCTTGCCCGACTGTGCAACCTGGGCAAGTCGCCCGGGGGTCACCTCAACGGGGCACCCCATTTTTTGGGTGGAGGTTTTCTGAGCATGGCCAGAGGGGCCCAAATCTGTGCTGCTTTCTTTTTTTTCAAGTATGGGCTGTCCACGGGGAGGGCGGTTATGAATTGGTTTGTAAGGGGCTAAAGGTTTCTAAAGGGGGGTGCCTCAGTCTGAGTCTATTGTTTTCTTTTCTATCGTCGTTTCCGGAAGGAATTCTAATGTGACCCTCAGCCAAAAGTCGTTTGTATTGCAATTCTACACAACATATTTTTTTGCTGGAATTTTTTCTTCTTCTCTTTTCTGTGGTGCTTAGGCTGCCTGGATCCCTGCCCGAGGTTCATGCCCTGCCGGACACCCAGGCATGTACCCCCGCACAAGTCGGGTACATGCGCCCCTGGACAAACAGCTTAGATTTGGTTTGATGTGAACCTGTTTGCTGCTGCGTGACGAAGATGCACCTCTCACCAAACAATTTATGAAGGATGGAAGCAGTTATGATGATGGATGTTCTTTGTTTTTTTCCCTTCTTTCCTTTCTTCCGTTAACCATGAATGTATGCATCCAGCAAGTTTTCAACTCATGATATGAACACCGTACATGTCTGACGGATGGGAATTAAGTCCGATTAACTCTTTTTGTCATGCTCTTTTCTTATTGTGGGCAAACCTGATCCTCATGTGCACACATGCAGAATGTGCCTGTGTGTGTGTGTTTGTGTGTGTGCGCGCGAGATTTGGATGTTCTTGAGGCTGAGATGGGTTATTTGGGTGCCTCGTGAGTGTGTGTCTGCATACACAAAAGCACGCATGCAGGATGCGCCTCTAAGAGTGTGTGTGTGTGTGTGTGTGTGTGTGTGTGTGTGTGTGTGTGTGTGTGTGTGATTTGGATGTCCTTGAGGCTGAGATGGGTTCATTTGGGTGCCTCGTGAGTGTGTGTGTCTGCAAACACAAAAGTGTCATCTGGATGTTCGCATATTTTTGGAGTTCCTGAGGCTAAGCAGAAGGGTTATGGTGTGGCCTTGTGGGGTGGCCTATTTGCATCCATCAGCCCAAGTGCCCAAGTCTTTTGGGCCTTAACGAACACACAACACATGTTCTGTTCTGTGATTCTTTTGTTGTCAGGGTCACATGTTCGTGAGAGCTAGCTTAACAGAAGTGCTGTGTTGACTTACTTATTTCTTTGCTTTTTGTGGAGTGCAGTGTGCAGCAGAAGGACGGCCGGTGGCTGCGAAGAATTCTGAAGCTTGTATTGTTCAAATCTGGGCTATTCTTCCAGCGCTGTGCAATTACCCATCGGACACTGCACGATCTTTCCGTCTTCTCGCAAAGGCCATAGGTGATGCTCTGCTGAAGGAACCGGAGCTACGGGGGTCTATTTGCAGCAGTCTGCAGGTACAAAACTTTTGCATCTGATAGGCATGCGGGCAGGCAATCCTTTTATTTATTTCTTTTTCTGATGGTGTGACGATTGTTGATGGGTGATGGATCTGCGAGAGTGATCTCTATTGTTGACACCCTCGTTACCAGTCTACAAATAGGATGACCAAGGTTTTATTTTATTTTATTTATTTTAAAACACCAGTACCTTTGTCGGTTCGAAAATACTCGGTCTCCGACCTTTCAGGAGGCCGAAACGAAACGACGGCCGCCGATCAGATTGATCAACGTCGGGCTCGGCCTCGTGAAAGTTCGGGTACTGGCCAGGACTTGTCGAAACCGGATGCCAAAGGTACTAGTGGTTTGATGTTTATCTTATTGGATTCCACAAGGATTCAAACTCACCGTCTGTTTATTTAACAGCTACATGTGTGTAGCATTCAGCTGCATGGGCTGGCATGGCCATGTTTTTTGTGTTCACACTTGAAAGAAAAAACGTTTGAACTTGGTTCTGAAAAGGCTCTCTCATTCGAATCGTACCTCGTTTGGATTGCCGGTTTTGTCAGATGGGCATAGGGGACGGCCGGTTTGTGATATGCTTAGTTTGGCTCTCTCAGAGGGGCGTAGGGGATGGTTGCCTGCTACTGTCTTCACCCGAATAGAACACACGGTCATTATGGCCACATCTGGACTGAAAGTTGTCAGGCAGACAGGCACACTGACAGCCACACACACACACACACACAGACAGACACACACACGCACACACACACACACGCACACACAGGCACACACACACACACACACACACACACACACACACACACACAGAGAGAGAGAGAGAGAGAGAGAGAGAGAGAGAGAGAGAGAGAGAGAGAGAG